CTGGATAATCACAACACTAGAGACGTTGTAGGCCCCTACCACGAACCGTCACGCCTCCAGTTAGCTCAGTGGCTCATTGGTGATCTTAATTCGGTTAGAAGCAACATTACTAACCTTTCTTCGTAATGTATTGCATTGTCATTACAAGAATCATTTCTTCCCTTACCTTTCCTTAGCAAAACTAGGCGTTCTATAAATTCTACCCTTTCGTTGTTGACATTTCACGCATGCGAACCAAGCATCTTATTATCATTGTGTTGATACACAGCAAGGGAATGGAACAATAAAAACACAATTGAAATAAATTATAAATTTGTTGACTCCGTGGCGCAGTTGTCAAGTTATTGGCTTCGGCGCCGTGGGTCGTGTGTTCGATTTTTTTGTGACCCACAGATAATTGACTCGGATCTGGATAATTATCCACGTTAAGTTTGTATTATTCTCTTACAACACTGGCCCAATTACAGTAAGGGGAACGCTTCTAAAAAATAAAAAAAATTGCCAGTGTCCGATTTTCAGTAGGTACATGACGTGTGATTCTTCAAGGCAGGCTGATTAGGCTTTTGCTCATTTCGTTTAAAATCGAAAATCTCCACTTGCATCATTTTCAATAATAAAAAACAGCATAAACCGCAACAGTTTAAATAGTTTTGCTTTACGCAGGTAACTTATATAGTTGTGGTACCTATTGGTATCGGGCATCACCATGAAGAAGGAGCTGTATGCCGCTGTTGCTCAACCACACAGTATAAAATTGACGGACTATAAAGTTAAAAGGCAAAGTATGTTCCGTGCCTCTTGCTAATTTGCCACCGAAAGAACTGGCTTATCGAGTTCTCTTTATCTCCACGAAAAGCGTCCAGTGCTTAGCTTAGATGCAGCTTGTATAATCTATAGCTTAGGCGGTGCACTCCAATGGTATCTATACATCTCGATGCAAGACGTTAACAATGGGTTAACTCCGCGTGGGAGCCGATCCATCGCGTGTCAGCGACAGGTGCGTGCTCACGCGAACCGCGATCCGCCGGCAATGGACACGTGGGAAGGGAAAAATGCGGGATCGAGTCGCAACTAATTACCGGTTGCGCTGAAATAGTTCGTTTGTTTCACTTAATAAGAACGGCGTTGTTTCAGTTATAATAACTGATAGCACCAGGATATACATAGAAGTAAACATAGAATCTTAGTGGCTTCCACTAGCTAACTTTATACGACCTTCCGAATATAATATTATATATAACGACGAATATAATATTGGAGAATATGTAAAAACCGCGTAGCTCATTCCTATCTTCTACGCATCAACAACAGCCCGAATTCAGTTGTGTGATCACATTCAACACGTGGGATAGGGTTACCTCACTCACCAAAGGTTAGTAAAAACGCAATACTTCTACTTTAGGGCGGTCTTTACCCATCGATGCAACATAAGAAGTTGCTAAAGTGCCTAGGGTTGCCACTCTCCTGATGGTAGGCGGTGATGCAAAACTCTTCAATGAGAGCCCAGGAACTAGAGCCACGAAGAGCCGAAACTAAATCGAAAGACTGAATCCGGGAAGTTGCTTCGAGCCATTGCTGTATACATTGAGTAGATAAATGAATAAATATTTTTACGACATATTTCCACACAAGGTTCTCTTCTCTAGTCCCAAACTAAGGAAGGCTTGTATAACGGGTAACTAGATAACTGATAAAGACACTTAAACATACTTTTCTTTTGTAAATAAAAACATATATAAACACGTAGACAATGGAAAAACACAATTTTCATCACAAAATATTTTTCCCGTAGTGGGGATCGAACCAACCTTTGGCGCAAGAGGCGGGTTCACTACCCACTACGCCAGTCTGGTCGTTATGATAAGGAAATGCATCGAAACATACAAATTGATAGCGTTCATTGCATTTTAATTGCAATTTAAAGTCCCTATTACATTATTCATTGGGCTGATCTTGAGGGACTCTGTTTATAGAAGTTCACGGAATTTACGTATTTTAAAGCCTGTTTTTAGTTTGTTGATATTTTACAAAGCTCATCACCATGATTAATTAATATATATATTTTAATTGTATTTAAAAACATATTTTTAATATACTTTCTTTCGAGCACATCCTTACCAATATTATAAACGCGAAAGTTTGTTTGTATGGATGGATGTTTGTTACTCTTTCAAGCAAATAACACTGAATGGATTTTAATGAAACTTTACAATAATATAGCTTATCAGAATAAGACATAGGCTACAATTTAGATACATATTTTTTGTATATCTGTCTTTCTGTCTGAATACTACGCCTTCAGCCTACGCAGACGTAGTCGCGGGCAGCAGCTAGTACTCACATAAATCCTGATTTTTCTTCACCTTTTAACTCAAAGGATTGCGCTTTAACTGAGCTTCCCCTTAGCAGAGGTTACGTTTGCAAACGTGAAAGTTGTCAATTTTATTACTATTCTATTGTACTTTGTGCAACTATCACTAGTCTTATATTACATTGAAGCGTATTTCATTTACCAGGGTGTTTGATTTAAACTTCATTCTATTCTTTTCGTAAAAAAAAAGTTTAAAGGATTCTAAACGATGATAATTACGCAGTTTTCGACACGTCGTTATCAAATTAAACACGTTTAAGTCAGTAAAATACTTTTATTTACCATTGAGGATAGATTTTAATGAATCGCCTACTTATAGCAGTATGTTTTAAAGAACGTGTTTTATAATTTTAAACAAAAAAAAATCGACTTCAAACAGAAAACTAAAAAAACATTGTCAACGCCTATAACATTTGTGGATTGCCCTCGATTACTCTGGGATGCCAGCATCAGATCTGGGTTTCCTTATCATGGTACCGCCCTTATGATATCTCCTTTTCAACAAAAAATAATCCTTAAAATCGGTTCATTAATGACGAAGTTATCCCTACACGAATACACAAACAAAATAAAAATATATACGGTCGAATTGAGAAACCTCCTCCTTTTTTAAAGTCGGTTAAAAATCAGAAATGTTGCTAACACTTACGTGACAAAGTGGCTAGCGAGCTGGCGGTACACCTGATATTAATCAATAACCGCCCATGGACATTTGCAACACCAGTAGGGTTTCAGAAGCGTCGCCATCTTTTCATAAATTGGGCCCCGGCTACTTCACTCACCAGACGAAATGCAGCATACCTAAGCGATTGAGGTGACCATATCCGATTTTGAATTAAATATCGTGTATAACTTGTGTAGTTTCATTGACCTATCAAAGTAATATTTTATAGATTAGCCGCAAAACAATTGTTTTCAACTATTGACGCTTGTCAATAGTTGAAAACAATTGTTTTGCGGTTAATCTATCAAATATTACTTTGATAGGTCAATGAAAGTACACATTACTTACTCTCACTATACGAAAAGTGCTTGCTTCTTCCTACACACAAAAAAAAAATCAATGCCGAGTGATTATCCTAGTTTCGATGCTCTGGCTAGAAGTATTTTATTTCGCATGTCCCGAAAAACCCTATGAAAGATACCTTGAAGACGGTAGTGCCAATTTCGATACCTTAACACAGTTTGATTAGGTGTAGGTAAATGAAACGTAATCAGTTAGAGACTTCTTTTTATTCATCAACTTTTCGATTTATTATACAACCGCTCAGTCCCATACGCGACCGCCCATTTACACACATCGCTTTACATTTGTTGCAAATAAATACATTGCTTCTCTTCAACACGTAGTTTGTTTAGATTTGGCAGGAGGAGTTCATTATTTGTGACATCGTAGCGGAAAAACGAAATAAATTCCGATTTTTAGTGGTTTCTATAAAAACGAAAAGGCGAAACAAATAAAAATTCCAAATAACACTCTTTGGTCTATAGTCTAATAGAGGTTATCTTGATATTTTGAGATTTTCGTTTGAACATAAATTATTCTAACAAAATTAAAATAAGCACCGAATTATTCAATTTAAAGTAAAACGAGTATTTTATAGAAACCACGAATAATAAAATTATAATTGATACATCTTTCACATACCTCTATACGTATTTCTTTTACAAATCATAGTAAACAAGGGATCACTTGTTTATTTATCGTAAAATAATCTTTACACGACACACCGCAAACAATAAAATAGGTTATTTTTACCCTTTTAATAATTAATGATAATTCAATTTAATTTTTGTAACGTTATATCGAATAAAAAATAATATAAACATTTCTAAAGTATACGAAAAAAAAACACTAAATGCTTTCACGGAATTATAAAACTTGTACGGAGTATATAATACAATAAAAAATGAAATTGTCAATAGAACAGCACCAGTCAAAATAAAAAAGAAATATTTAAATAGACTTTTTACTCTTATGTAAAGGGATTATGGATCTGATTAATTTACCCTTAATTCTTTTAATTGCACAATTGATACACGTCATGATTTCTTTAGTAGTGTTGCTAACACAGAAAAATAAAAATGATATTTTTCAAATATAAACAAAAAATCAAAGACTACAAAATGTTTCGATCTAAATGCATTCGTTATGAGTTTCTTTTTAAATATTTGCAGCCAGTTCAATAGAGTCTGTTTCTTTATTTTATACAAAAAGAATTTTTAAAGATCTCAAAAATCCCCTTATAGCTACAAATATACATCACTACACACAAACATTGCACGACCGACGTTTTATTGCGCTCCGAGATTCCACATAATTGCTTACGATAGTTTCTAAAATGGCGCCGCTAGAGGCATTGTATCAAAAGGTCCGAAACTAAAATCAATTCCGCCGAAGGAAACATTCCGTATAAAATGATACGATCGCCTTACAACAATGGAAAACATCTCTCGTAGATACCCCCTATCACAATTATCATACATTAGGTACATTTACAATAATAAAAACATTATATTTTTCGTTTTATTTACATCATTAAGTTAACTCTAGCCTAGTTTACTTTTTTTTACAGAGGAACAAAATGGAACTAACGAACACTACTGACCCAATTTCCAAACGCGCTCACTTAATGTCCAGCTGGGAGCAGGGGTCGCGGCCCCTCAGATTCAGGAGACTGTCGATCGTCATGGAGGTCTTCTGGCCCTTAGGGTCCGGCAGCGGGGCCGCTTCGTACGGCGCGTAGAACGACGCGGGGTCGGACCTCTCGCGGCCTCTGCCGAAGAGGTCCTCCGGGGCCTCGTGGGGCTCGCTGGATGACGTCACCGCGTCCTCGGGCGCCTCTTGCCGGTACCTCTGCGGGTCGAAGCGCTGGCTGGGCAGGTACGGCGCGAGGCCGTACTGCGCTGATCAGGCCGCCAGCTGTCTCCACATCGTATGTCACATGGTCGCCATGTAGGGCCACGAGAAGGAGCTGCCCGAGAGCAGCATGTCCCTTATCAGCGTCTCTATGGGCGTCTTCCCGACTAGGCGGACGAAGAACAGCTGCTCTATCACCTGCGAGCTGACCGTGCGCAGCGACGGCAGCCGCAGCAGCAGCTTCCCGAACCTCGTCGGCTGGTTGGGGTACTGGCTGCGGCAGTACTCCTCTAAAGCGCACTGCGACTTCTCCTGCAGGCTCTCTATGTGCGGCACGTCCGACAGGCCGCAGGCGTCTGCGAAACAGAACGGAATCCGATTAGTCTACGAGTTTTTAAGGCCGCTTAGGTGATGGGCAGCTTAGCTTAGTGTAATACGTCATGGTGATTGTGCTATGCATTCCCAAATCACATCTAGTTGCAAAAGTTCAACTAAAATGTGTCACGTTTGATGTTAAGCTCAATCTTTCATCATTAATCCTCTACTTCCCGATCCATATGATGAAGAGAATATAGGTATTGATCACAGTAGGAGATCGAGAAGTATCACATTTTTTTCACAGCCTTTATCCAGGACTGTCTATGCAAATAACATAGTATTATAGCGTTTTTATCTAACGACCCTGCCTAAAGGATGCTCCAGCTAATCTTCACTCGGCCCCTTAAATCGCGTTACCTTTAAAGGGACAGTATAAAAACATTTAATACCCTTTTGACTATAGAAATTTTCGCTACATTAATCCCCAAGCTCCCGTCCAACGCAACGGCTACGTTTGTTTCGTAACGCGATATTAGACGTCGTTGGTGGAACGTCCTATCTTCTATCTTTCTCTTATCTCATTAGCATTGGCAATATTTTTAAATATTAACTTAATTAATAATAAGAGAACTGTATAGCCAAACTACACTTGGTAAATTGCCTAGAACGTTTATTTCGTTTATAATTAAGCTTAGGAAAGGAACCAGTCCTCCGAAAAGTATCTATGACATATTTCTCTTTTTAATTTTCCGATCCCACGGATCAAGTCCCGTTACGTGATCACTACCTGAAGATTATATAAACCTTCTTCCATCGCAAGGATCGTTCATATACTAATGTATCCGAGATCTAGTAAAATACACAATAACACGTATGTCTGACTGTTTGACTTTGAACGTCAGTTCTTAATCGCACTTAACACTCGGATGATAAATGACCCAATGACACGAAATTAGTGTTTTTATGGCCGCTTATACTGCTAATGTCAGTAGACTTACGAAGTCAGTTCTGCAAAAAGACCGCTTTGCAATCAATTGAACTTGCACGTGTGTGAAGATCATACAGCGCGCAAGAAGGAATATTAACGCTCTGTCAGAAATGAGTACATTTCTGACAAAGCGTTAATATTCCTTCGCTAAGCAAGGAAGAATAGACTTTCGGTGAGAAAGGAAGAATTTCTTTACCTTATCTCAGCATAGTCGCTTGCTACGGGTGAAAAAAGACACGGAACCCGCAATGCGTAGCACTCACGTTAACGACGCGTGCATGAGTTATAAGGAAGGAGATCTGAGGAGGCAATGCCAGCAATCCTCCGCGAAGATGTGCCGAACCCCAAAACAAAAACGCATCAACATAATAGCCCGTGAACGCGCGCAGACCGTCTTAATGCGATTAGCAGATCCCCCGGTACATTTGGCCGAGGCTACATTAATATTTTTTATTGTTATACGCGGAGAGGCGACGCGGTAAACAAAAGGGACGTTGTGACACCGAACAGATGTGGTGTTGCCCAATTGCGGTGTTCATAACGACCGCGATTTGGACACGGTAAAACTCCCTATAATTGTTGTAATCGACAATTACAGTTGAACTATGAAATTTTCCCGTCTTATCTACTAGGTGCTGGTGGGTTTAGCCAAAATAAATTCTATGAATGGTCTTATATTAACTGATGTTTTTGCTTTCAGTCCCGAGACTAAGCTTCATCTGACACAGAACCGGTGGGCTAGCCAGAACCCACGGGTTTATATAGATTATAAATGGTCACTCTTTTGTAGCTGACGTTCCCGGTAAGTGTATTCAGGTGGTGATTATTACTGAAATATTTAATTAAAGTTTCTACACAAAAATGAGTTCAGTGGAGACGTGTTCAATAAGAAACTTAGGTGAAAGACAAGTATCTCATTGTCCTCAAGAACTAAGTTAAGATAATCGAGATAAATAGAGATAATAAACACGTTTACAGAACTTACTACGTCACTAACATCATCTAGTTACCTATATGGTTACAATAAGATTATTTCCAAAAGGGAATTTATTCTTTATCTATTATTCTTTATTTGCATTTTTCAATGTAGCTTAGGTGGTAAAGATTTAAAATTAAGAATCATCATGGTCCCTGCTTGGGCATAGCAATAGTAAAAATTGTTAAGACTTAAATACAATTAGCATTAAATTAATTAGAATTAAAATATAAATACATTTTTTTACAATTAAGCGTGCAATGTCCATAGAACTTAATATTAATTTAATTACATTTATAAACATAACATTAACAATATATAATAAATTAATATAACATAATTTCATAATCATAAAATTTTATAAATATAGAATATTTGAGTATAGTAGTGTTTGTTAGTCGCTTAAATATTCGTGTATGCTATAATAACTCTTGTTTAATAAAAATTTTTTCATTTCGTTTTTAAATGATTGTAATTTTTTATTGCCTTAATTTTATTTGGTATTTTATTGTATATCTTTACACACATAGCGTAAGGTCCTGATTGAAAGAGGGCTAACGAGGAGCTTGATTTAGTAACCTTCTATCGACCTTCAAAACCAGGTCCGGGTAAGATATCAAAAAAGAAGGTGAAATGCGTTTGTAATGGAGACTACATCTAAAGGAATATTAAGAGAACGTAATGAGAGCCAGTTAGGCAACGAGCGAACATAAATTGGCCTTCAAGGCCCTTTAACTAATTAGAAATGTTGCGAGTGGCCTCCTCAGAATGGAGTGGCGTCAATGAAATTCAAGCTAGCACCAACAAACTGACTGAATGAATGAAAATGAAGTTTTATATATCTGTCTTTACAGTTATTAGTTTTTTTGCTTCGTTTATCCTTTCTACTTATTGTCGTTTCTTTAGCTGTGGTAGCTTAGTGTAAGAGCTTTTTTGTTTCAGTCTGCCTTACATGGGTTTAAATCTCCGAGGCCCATTAAATTGTCAAATGCTCTTTCAAGTGCCTATACATTACGCGCTCAGTGGTGGCCAGTAACTTCGGGAGGAAACCTTATGCAGTTCCATCGAAATAAAAAAAATCGATGTCTGTGAAACGGCGTCTCTTGACGAGCTTAGTTCTAGTTCTCTCCGTATAGAAGGTCATCGCGCAATACAGGCTATTACTTTAAATCTTCATTTAGCTCAAGTCATAAAAGTCATAAATAAATCGTCATCAGAGTCAGCGGTTAATTTGAAAATGGTGGCCTATACGATAAAATAAATATTAATATTAATGAGCAATCTGTTTAAAGTCGAATAAAAACAAAAATAACACAGCAAGCTGATAATAAAATAGAATATTATACTGATAATGTAATAGGTATACTTGAAGGTGACGTCGAGTATATGATTCGGTAACAACCATCTTGAATCGAAATACACAGTTGTGTATACTCCGAAGGCAAATCAATCAACAATCTACTTTATAAAGGTATGAGTCGACATTCTAAAACGTTGAACTACTCCGCAGTTTAAACATTTACGAGGCGTTGTTATACGTAAATACGACATTAAGTTATCTGTGCTATATGGGCAGAACGTAAATACTAGTTTTCTGTGTTGTATAGGCAGAGTTAGCATGGTGCCCAAGTATTCCGGAACGTTTTAAACGCCAGTGCTCTCCCGCCCGGCACCCGGGGCGACCCAAATTTCCACCGAGGCTGCCTCCATCAATCCTAATATCCCAGCCACGCCCCCGTCTCGGTCGGGTGACGCAACAGCAATTGCTCCTACTTGCGCTAATTGCTGCGACGCTCTTAACAACTGACAGCTGCTGATGGGACACGCAATCGAAGCTAAGGCTCGGCAACCCGGCTTCTCTCGTTGCGTATGAGGACTGCATTTTGAAGCGCCCTTAATAAATGGCAAAATTACTCGAATAAAAAACATTAAAAGGTAAAAAGTATTGTTCACCTTATAAAAGTTGCACCGCTGGCCAAAGGCCTCCTCTGTAAAGAGGGTATAAGACCTCACATTTCTTCGAAATATTTATTTTTGTTGTTATTTCGAAAATGTGCAGATTCCCTCACGATGTTTTCTTGCACCGCAGAGCACGTGATAAGTTTGTGTAGAGGGAATCGCACCTCGGATTAATGTCATTAGTTACGGTATACTAATGAGATTAATCCGAGGTGCGATTATTGCTAGTTGAAATGAAATTAGCTGTATATAATTATTTTCCGTCTTTGTATTATTTATTAATATATATAATTAATACAATAATAAATATATATTATATATTTATTATTGTATTAATTACGTTCGCCCTGCCCGATAATAACCTTGTATAAAATGTATCTAAGATATTCTATTCAACAATTATTTGCCGAAACAGTTTATAAATAGTTAATTGTGTTTAAAAAGCGGTTATAAGCGGACGTCGCTATTTATTTTTTCAGGTTGTCATGTTTAATATTGAACTCATGTTAAGGGAGATTAAACCATGATTACTTTGATCGTACTGTAAACAAACTTTAAAGTGAAAATTGCTAGAAATTGATTTGGGTGGCAATTGAGCCTTTTTGGAATAAGTGAAGAATGTCCAACTCAAAGTTTCAAAATGTTAATTGCGAGATAATTGATTTATTAGAAATATTATAGTGATTAAATTCAATTTTTGTAAAAGATCTCAAGTGATTTCGTTTAAAGCGTGCCTCCATTATTATGGTTAATTTATATTCTCGCAGAAAGCCTCCTTTTACTAACATTATGAAAACCACAAACATGGCGTAAATTTGGCGGGAATCTTATTGTCCTAGATAACGATAATAATGTTGACTGTCAGAGTTTTAAAACGAACACTTCAATATTATAAACAAAAGTGTCAAGAATTTGAATTGAACAAAGTAAATTTATATTATTCCATTTTTAACGGTTTATATATAAATGATTGCGCAACGCAATCGCAGATAAGGACGAAATATGGAAAGGTGTACAACAACGTCTTTGGGGACCAAAGATCACTCCGAGACGGCCCAATAGCAATTAACCCTGTGCACGCCGTAACAATGTAATATAGTTTAATTGAAACGACCCCGATGGTGGCTCGAGTAAACGCTGTACCCGCCGCTGACTGACGCGATAGTTGAATGAATGAAAATGGCGGACTGATTAACGCGGCCGGCAAAGGAACGCGACCCATAGAGCCAAGAAAGCCATATTGTGATCAATAAAAATGCAGTCGTTACAAAACACGCAATTCATAGAGTAACATTTAAATGTCACTTTTATAATTTTAAATGTTTTTAATTCATTAAAAATTTTTTTGAATTAAAGATAAAGAAAAATAAAGACGTTTTTTCTTCATATAGTTATTGACTGGCTAGTTAGCGATAGCAGTGATATAAACTTTGATAGTGTTATTCCGGTTATTACATGAAACTGAAACTGGGTATTAGCCCGTTATTTAATTGAAACGAGTTTTGATACGTCACTATTCACATATTAAGTACCTTATTGGCATTAATATTAAGTGTTCCTTGTAGGCACTAAAACTCCGAGAACTTACTGCGCAACGCGCCTGTGACGTCAATCGTGTCGGATCATACGAAGCGTACCGTTTAGTGGCTTAAATAGTATTGATGGTGATGTCAACAGATTTGACCCGGTAAATCAATGCTCCATCAGCGGTAATGAACGCTAGTGATGCACGGCCGGCGCCAATGCGGCGGTCGCTTGGACGGTGGAAAGGCTACTGTTAATGTACAAATGTGACCGTCATCGTGGTGATACGATGAATATGATTGGCTAGAGTCATTAGATGTTGCCTTGTTATTTTTTTCTTTTTTTTTAATTGCTGTTAACGCTTTCAGTACCGAGAATGTTAAAGCTTCATCGAACGCAGAACCGGTGGGCTAGCCAGAACTTACGGGTTTGATGCCCTCCACAGTCGGTAGGGCTACGCATGTGCTCATGCTGTTATTTTTTCTATAATCAATATCGGCACATCGTATACAAAGTGCGGTGTGACAACCATTGGAGGCGTTTGTAACGTTTGATATATCCAAACTACCACTATTTTATAGATCTTAATAAAAGTCTATTGTATTTCACGTAGACACAATTACCACCTAAATAGTTTCTACAATATATAATTTTGTAGGAAAAAATTTATAATTTTGTAAGAAGTGTTATTTTTTCTAACTACGACAAGACGGAAAGTTTTGTTGTATTTACACTAGCTTTGAATTTTCTATGTAAATGATTTTTTCTAATCTTTTGAGAAACTAAATGTCTTAAATCTTGAGATATACATATTTTTATTAAACAAACAGCGCTCTCGAAGCGTATATACGTCAAAAATATGATAATAGTTACAGTAATCAAGTTCATTACGAATAGATTCCCTGAACTGAAAAATTACTGTTTAGACTTCTCTAAAGTTACACACTCACACACCTCTATGTTAAAATGGAATAAAAGACAAATGCAATGATGAACACTTTTCGAAGCATGTTTAATCCCAAGCCAAACTAACTAAGGAATAAACCACGGTGGAAATAAGAATCAATGAAACGATTTTAATCAGAGTTCAATTTGAGAAGATTAAAAGGAATCAGAATGAAGTTTATTGGAATTTATTTATCTTATCTGTCCACTGTCTCCCTTGCTCATAGAAATAAATATCATCATGGTTTTTATTACTTCATATCGAAATAAATTAAACCCGCACAGACGTATTTCTTTAGGGCGTCTGTACCAATCAAATGACCCCCAGATTTTAGTAAGCGTGACGTATTTGATTACGATTCGAACGGGTAAAGGGTGATCCCGCATTGAAGCGGCCATATTTATCTTATATAAAAATGAAATAATTGCCATCTACTGAAGTTCTGATGCGGGTGTTTGCGGGGTCGTTGACCCTTTAATAGCGTCTAGTTATAATCATTTTGGCCTGGCCTTGTCAATTTCTGACATCTGATTAAGCATGTTTAATATGAACACTAATTCAAGTTTCTCAAATATGATATAGTTACGTCGCGAATACGTATAGCTTTCGGAATATTTTAAAGCTTGTTACACATATTACGACAACATCGCTTGATTAACATGGAACGCATGTAGAGAGCGTCATTTGAGAATATGTAATAATGTACTAAAACTGTGGTAGGGCTACGCAGCAGCCTTGGCTGTGGTAGTCTACTGCACTAAATTATCCGAAGGCGAGACAGCCAATGAGATCATAAATTTAAAAAAATACTGTACAATCTAATAAAACCCTTTTGACGCGAACTGTCATTAGTACGCGCCATTCACAGATTATAAATCAAAATTCCATCGAAGCCCAAGATAAGGTACGGCGACGCGAGAGGCGTAGCGATGCGAGTGGGCGGGAAGCAGATGTTTACACAGCGGCCGGCGAGCGAAGCCGAAGAATGAACGGCATTAGGCGAACAATGAACGAATGGCTATAATGGCGGTCATTCGACCGAATCTTATTATAAGTGACGCGTACGGACATTCATGAACGTTGAACGATCATGAATAAGAAATCTTACTGAACATCGTGTTTTGCCAACGAAAGTTTAATTCATAATTTTGTGTGATTTATTGTTTATGTCATTCTTTATTTATAAATAATTTAATTGGATCTAATATCTCAAGGTAGAATCTGACCGTTGCGTATGTATAAAGCGGTTAGGTATTGAGAATGCTGCAAACGGTTTGTTTCACTTCAAGTGTAATAACACAGAAGCCGTTACGCGTATATGAATTCAATTATTTATTTGAATTAAATTATTTTAAAAATAATATTAACGATTTAATCAGCTCAACAGACAACACTGGCAAAAAATAACCAATCAACATGTACAAATGTAGAAACTAACGAACTAACGAATTTTAACGCGTTTTCACATCACAGTCAACTATCAATGTTTTTAGTTATTTATTTGAACCAGATCCACGGAAGGAGAGCTTACATCACGAATTCTTACAGCGTTAGTGTCTTTGAATTTTCTTATAAAAAACAGGAACCCGAGCTGATTATGATGTGAATAACTATCTATACATAAACAAGTATGTGATTCGAAAGAGTGTACACATTGCCCCTACATACGCATTTGCTTAACAATTTGACTTGGAACAAATAAATTAACTTATCGCAACTATCCGGCGACAGCGTAAACTTGTAGACAAAGCTGCAAAATACGCAGCCCGCCAAAATGCGGGCACAATGGCCGCCCCCAAATCGCGGGGCGATCTCGTAAGCGGATCGGAAATGGCGAAACAAATTTAGCGGCCACAATGGCGTCGTGGCGTTTGTCGCGGCGATTTCCATCTCCAGAATAAGGAGGGTGCCCCTATCTCGATCTGAGGTGTTTATTTGGGTCGAATGTGTGGAACGCAACTCACTTCGCCCTCGGGCTTTGGGTAAGCGCGCACACCGCAAGAAGAAGGAATGAAGAGGAATGTAAGCTGTTTATTTGAAATTTCTTTAACTGCTAAACGGGTACCTAATCGTTAGAGGAACTCAGAGTGGAGTAAAGAAGATATATAGGTAAGGTGAAGAAAGTGACATGTGGTGTAGGAGTGCGGTGCGATCTCTCAATCCAGTTCTTTTGCGTAAAACTGGATTATGTCAAGACAAAAAAGATTACTTCAGCAAATTGCTGCAGTACTCAAGCGCTGCAACTTTCAATATCAGGCTACGTATGAAAATCAAAGTTTGAGAATATCATAAAGAAACCATAGCAATTAGATTGCGCATTGATAATATAGAAAGAGGGATAAATGGATCATTAAGACGTTACTAGCGTCCGTATCATCATGGGAACACACGATGCCAGTAATCTTAGCACGTGATAAATCGTAAAAAAACTAAGGCGCCCCGCGATTTGACTC